ACCGGTAAAAAAAAAAAAAAAAAAAGGAAAAAAAAAAAAAAAAAAAGAATTCTGAGGAAGGATATGAAAACATCAACATTTCTTCAAAGTACAATTTCTAGTAATACTCATACTTTCCTGTTTTCAGAAGACAATCCCAGTGTTAAAGAAATCCATGTGTGCACCATGAGCCCTTTGGTTTCCACTTCAAGTTCATATTTTTCCTTCTTGGGACTGTAATGAAATGTGTTTCCAGAATAAGTTGCTACAACTCTAAGAGATTTATAATCCTTAGACTCTGAACACTTCAGCAAAAGGAAGTGCAAAGAATGGCTCCTGTACAAAGGGTCGTGTTTGCTGTATTGGTGCACCTCTGGAAATTCTGTTTTTTGTAGATATTTATCACTACTTTTATCCACTTACTTTCCCACTTACTTTTCTAGGAATGCTGTATTTCCTGCTAGATCAGGAAAACAAAGAAACGTGTACTGTAAATTTTTTGTTGCTCCTTTGTTTTCCTGATCTGGCATTAGTTGGGGCTCCTCTGTGGAATACCAAACGGCAGTGTTTACTTCCCATGGTCTCCCCAGCTGCAGCACAGGACCTGGCTCAGAGTAGGAGTACAGGGTGTATTTGTTGAATGAATGAGTGGTGAAGCATAAAATGAGTGAAATTTCATGTCTGGGTTTTATTTTTGTGTGCTAGCAGTATGTCCCTAAGTAAGTTAATTAACATCTCAGCTTATGATTTGTCATCTGTAAATGAGAATAATAACATTGCATTACAATGAGAACTTTTTGCCCAAATCTGAGAACTTTATGAGACTGTGAGTAAACATATTTTGAGTAAATAGTGTGCAAATATGTATGTGTGCATCTGAGGTGGGAAAAAGCACATGGCCTTCTTTAGATCCTTCCAAAGATCAATGACTCAGTAAGTGTAAAAAAACCTCTATCTTACAGGGTTTAGTGAAGAGTGACAGAATGTTTATATAAAATTTTGTAGTAATTCCCCAAATCATTTTAACACTTTAGGATCTTTTCTAACTAGGCTATGTACATATAGTAGATTGAACCTGCCCTATACCAAAATAAATAAATAAATCAATAAAATAAAAAATAAAAAATTCCACTTGAAACTTTGGGAGTTTTGAATTGTTTGTATTTCAGTATAGAGATAGCCCAACGTCATAGCTTTTTTATTTACAGCACAGACTTTTCCTCATAGTTTTCTGGAAAGAAGAGATGAAGTTGTATGTACCTGAGCAACCATGAGACTTGCACAGGAGAAGAGATAGTGGTAGGAGGAGAACAGTAGGGTTGCATTTCAAGAGACTCCATTGGAGACCTTCCTGTGGAGAAGGTACCTGTTGTCCATGGTGGCCCTGGCCTCCTTGGAAGCACCTGTACTTCATGTAAGTGTCTTCACACTGCTTGGTCTGGCACAGTTCGTGATCACATGGAGGGCGCTGCTCTGTCCTGTCCAGGACGAGGGCAGTCTCTTTGTTCACCCACCAGTAGTAAGAGGCTTGGAAGTATAGCCAGGTAGAAAAACAAGGGTATTGCAGCACACAGGCTCTGAGGGCCAGGCTGCCAGTGTCTGGGTCCTGGTTTGGCCTCTTGCCAGCTATATGCTCCTACTGCTCCTTCACCACGTACCTCTGTTCTGTGAAGTGGACCAAGAGTGCCTTAACTCAGTGGTTGTGTGAGAATTATATGCGTTAAAATATGCAAGATACTTAGAATAGTGCCTGATATTCAGTAAGTGCTGTACATGTTTATTGTTATGATTATTAAAGAAAGGAAGAGCACCTTATGGTGAATCTTTTACAATTTAGAGTTGATAGATTCCTAGAAGGCAAGAGATATGGTCTCATCACTTCTTTTAATCACTGAATAAATCTTCTCTGTGACTTGATTTCTTCTACAATTTGGTTATGGTTTGGTTTAATTTATTATATACTGAGAATTTATAATAAAAGTCATTTATCCCACTACCATTTAGCTGAGCTAGCTGGCTTATGCAGCAAAATCTCTTTATTCTCTCATAAATTTATATTCACAGTACACAGAACCATATAGGAAAAAGTGTGAAAAGATCAGACCTCTTAAACTTACATGACGGTTGTTATACTGAGCCCATGCAGAAGGTTCTTCATTGATTATCTGGATGTGTGGATTATTTGGAAGTTTCATTCATTTCCATTGCTCCAGATAATCAGCCTGCACTTATAATTTCATATAATAAGACCACACTGCTTTGGATCAATACAACTTGTAACTTTTCATTCATGTCATTGTACTATTACTTTTATAGAACACCTAGGTAAGAGTGAAAATATCCAAGTTTTTTTTTAAGTATTATAACAGATTCAACTTATGCACAAGAATTAGCCTCCTCTTGCTCTAAGTCCAGCCCAATTTTGTGGTGTGAGCCATCCTCTGTATGCAAATCATGAGACTGTCTATTAATAACCTAAGAAAATGCATATACTGAAGATATTACACTTTTTCAGGTTCAGATGTTACACTTTTATTATTATAAATTTCATTCAGATTCAAGTCTTATGGAAGTTTTTATTAAAATATGTTTGAAAAATTTATTTTCACTTCATTCTAGTCTGCTAAGATCATTCAAGTATAAAAATCTAAATGAATTACTGTCATATATCCAATTCATAAGATCCTGACTATGTATATTATAATCTTACTTAGAAAAATATGACAAAAATATGTTTCAGATAATAAAATAGACTATCTTGATTTAAAATATGCATGCACTAATAACTTGACACCATAATAATTGCTATTGGGTATGTTTTCATTTGTTTTATTTTTTAAATAATTGGTTTTCAGTAGAACAAAAGATTTTTATTAGTTGACTTTGTAGAGTTACAACCTTTCTAGTCTGGTGGATATTGATACAACTTTAATTTTGGATATAATGAAACACTGTTTGAAGTGAATAGTTCATCATCCAAATTCAGCAATATGTGTAATGTATACCTTTTAATAATGTTTCCAGCTAGAGAAAGCTGTTTCTTTCACCATTATCACAGGTTTTATTTTGCATTGTTATCGACAAATTTTCACATTCGTTTTTAAATTATGATATTAAGCAAAAACTTTTACACTGGTAAGTGTTGCTCTAAGAGTTGCTTCAATTCAGAGTATTATTGGAGGGCCACTTTGGTACTTGGATTTTGGACCTCCTTCTGTGACCCACCTGGCCCATAGGCAAAGTGGGCAGCCTTCTGTATCGAGAGATAGGAACGTCCTGGATGACATTTCCAGAACATGTCTTCCATGTCCTGAATTTCCTACCATTGTGTTGTATAAAAAAGATACCAGCATCCTTTTTGAGAGGCTAAGGTAGTATCTTGAGAAACAAGTGTGGGGAAGGTAGAGAGGGGAGAGATGCTCATTCTCATTTCACAGTTCTGCTTAGGCTGACTCTGTTGTGCAACCCTTTCCATGCTTGTTTCTAATCTCCGGACTGGCACGTTAATTTTTTTCTTCCTCTGTGCTCCCTATGCACTTCGTGCATGTGTCTGTTATAGCACTCATCAATAATTATAGAAGTCATTGTTTATGTGTTTCCCCTCTGAGTTGTAACCTCATTGATGTCAAAAGCCATGTCTTATGCACTGATTTATTCCAAGTGCTATGGCAGTAGTTGGAAGATAGTTTATCTTCCCTTTGTAAATCCTGGATTTCTACATTATTTGCATATGGGTAAATGGACCCATAATTATATTTAAAAATCTTATTGATTTTTTTCTCTCTGTGTATTCATTTATTCTCGATGGAATTATTAAGTTATTTCTGATCTTCCTTTTAATATTCTGAAATTCTTTTATTAACTTTAATCTCCAGTGTCTAAGCATTGCACTGTAAATAAACCAAATGGAGAAACCTATGTTTTATAGTGTTTGGTGTTTAAAAGTTTATTATTGAATAAATTAATTCACTCACATACACACACACAAAAAAACCGGGGGCGGGGGGGGAAGAAGATATAACAACTACAATTTTTTGAAGTTGTTACAACAAACAAACGGAAAGGACATTCTTGGGTGGGAAGGGGGAGAGGGAGGAGGGAGGGAGGTTTCGGTGATGGGCCATAATAATCAACTACATTGTATTTTGACAAAATAAAAATTAAAAAAAAAAAGTTTATTATTGTCTGAAATTATATCTGGCAATACCTGGAGGGTATAAATAACAATGTGGTCATGGACAGATCTTTAGACACCAGTATTGTATAGCCTGTGCTGTCACTCCAGGTGATTGAGTGTAGCTAATTTCTGTTAACCGTGCCTGTGAGGTTGCTATGGCTTCTTATTTCATGAGTTATTTTAAATTGCTGACTGCCTTTGTGGTGTTAAGAAGTAGCTGCTATTATTATTATTTAGAAGCAGACATCTATTTCATTTTTTGTTGCTGATGAGATCACTAATTAAAACTCACATTTGTAGTGTAAATTACTACCATTAAAAAGTAAGTGGCCATCCTCTACTTGATCCTAAAGAATGAACATAAACAACATAAACTTTGAAATCCTAAATATAATTAGCGCTTGTGAGCATATTCTATAAAATTGAAGTTGTTATTTATTTAAGTCGGAGATATCTGTTTCTGACCAGAACTTGAAAACAACTTGCTTCTAAATAAGAGACAGAAAAGCAGCTAATGCTTTCCTTCACTTATAGGTGTGTGTATATTTCTTTGATTCTCATATTTCAGTAAGGTCACATGAAGTTCTGTTTGAATGACATTTGAGTCAGTTTCCCCTTTTGAGGAGGGCAACATGCCAGATTATCAAAGGAATTCCTATTTAGATTCTGTCAGAAAAACATCTTTAAGTCATTCAATTCATATTGTGGTGTTAAACTATTGTTTGGATTTACAAAACAGTGAAAAGGTTTTATAGTAATACCAGCTGTGCACAGTCTGCTGGTAAGAATAAAAAGTCGTTTTCTGGTAACTGCAATACCTAGTAAAAAGATTTGAAGAGGCATTGAAATTGAAGCAACAGCAAAACTCGCACTTGTATAGCTGAACACATGGTGAGTATTCTGAGAAGAAACAAGTGACTTTGAAAGGATAACATAATTTAAAATCTTAATTTCAGTTGGCAGGGAAAACCCAATGGGAATGTCTGCAACAACCAGCAAAGAGGAAGAAAAGATCCATGAGTCAAAAAACAAGAAGGAAATACCACCAGAATCTGAGGCCAGGGGTCCCTCACCTTCTTCAGCTGCACGTAAGCAACAGCTTTTCCCCTTCTTCTTTTGATTTGTTTGCCTCATTGTGTCTTCCCTGTGGCTACCTCAGGAAGAACATCAGATTATTTTTATAATATATATTATGTTTTTCCACATGAACTGCTTTTAAGTTGTTGCCTTGCTTTCCTATGCTTTAGTTTTATATTGCAAAGAACACATATATTTTTAATTGTCTTAAATCTAGTGTTCACTTCAGAACAATGACTTCAGTCAAAATAAGGTGGTATTAAATTGTGACGTCATATTAGACTATTACCTGTAAAATATTTAATAATATATCTTATGAAAAACAGTGTATTCTCACCAGAATCTAAGCAACAAAGAAAATAATCTCCATTTATCTGATAAAAAAATTGAGGCATGAATAAACTGCTATAGGTTCCAGAGGTTTGAATTTCTAATTTCTATCTTAGTCTTTTTGATCATTTTTCTTTCTTTTAAATGTACTATTTTCCATCTGACTGGAAAGTATAATGTATGATATCAGGCAATTCTATGCATGAGAATCTAGTCATCTACAGGCAAAATGAAATAGTGGACTGCTGTCTCTAAACCATTTTTTTTTAAACCCATTGGAAGACAGATAAATTATAATGTTACCTTTAAAAAAGTGATTTTTGAAAATTAGTTATTGGGTATGCTATCATTTCTTTCAGATAGTAACAGATAGTAGATGTCTCTTTTTACAAGCCTATGATATTGTCACATTAATCATAGGGAAGAGAAATTATCTTTTTGATTTTTGCTGCGTTGGACTAGTCCCAGTCTATATTTCCAAGTCTTGTCATGTATCGATGGAGCAGTGTGAAGAATCACCACATGACAAACATGTGCTTAGTTAAAATTTCTCACAGAACAGTTCAATCTTGTGTCAAGATTCATGGCACCTAAATTAGGAATGGCCACCTGAAGTAAAATTTGACTTGGTTGAAAATAGAATGGTAGCTGAAATCTCTAGCAAAGGATACTTTGTCATGAGTAGCAAAATGCTTAAGAGGAAACCTTCTATATGTCTTATGAAAATTTGTCTTCTCTGGCAAAATCATTTTAAATATGTTACCCTTGTTAAGTTTTAAGGATTGGAAGGTGTAATTTTTTGATTGAGGCAAGTCATTTGCAAAAATGATAAAATAAGGCCTCATGCTAAATATACACCTTTAAAAATTATTCTCTCATTTAGTTAATCATCAAATAAATCATCAAATATGCATTGTGTGCCTACTAAATGTCAGATGTAAGGAAATACAGTGATGGGTAAAACAGATTTGGTCACTGCCCTCTTGAAGTTTACAGTCAAGTGGGTCAGATAAACATTAAACAATCACCCCAAAATAGAAGGCTAAAGACTGACAGTTGAGATGAAGGAAACATCTAGGGCTCTAGACACAGGATAAAATTTAAGTCATTAATTCATTATAAAGAGTTATAAATTCTTCATTGTAGTTAGTGGCAATACAGTAGAAGTGAAGAGTGAGCCAAAGACTCACTTATTAAGAAGCTTAATTTATTCATGAGCTATGTAAAAAATTGACATCCTACAGACATTGGACTTGGACATGAAATCCTGGAAATCCAGGTGATGAAGCTCCCCTAATGCAAATGCCATCTGTAAAATTTCCATGATTTGTTTAAATTTTGCTTTCTCTGATTGCTGTGGGAATGGTTTTATAACCATCCATGACTTTGGGTGGGAAAAAATATGGCTTTCATGTGTGAATATTACCTAGAAGGCTCTCATCCATTACTGAGTAATCAGATCATAAATCCCTTTAGTTGTCTTTTTTCTACCTCTTTCAAACAGCTGCAATAGCTAAAAGTTGATTCTTGCAAGAAATAACTTCCTCTTGGTTTTGCATTTTAGCTGTCGTGCTAGATAAATTCGGGTTACATTAGCCATTCATATTAAAACATGTTAGTTGAAAAATACTTTAGGAAATTATTTTCTGCTTTTAAAGATGTCTCAAAACAATTGTCAGTTCCTGAAGCATGAGATTATATTTGTCAGTCCACTTTTGGGAAAAAGCAATATGTATGTAGCTTTGGGAATTAGGAATTAGGACAAAATAAACCTGTCCTCTCTTCATTCAAAATGCTTATTTATTAAAAATAGAGATGGAACTTTTCTCATCTACATCAAAGGGTCATGAAGATTTAGAGTTTATAATACCACATATACAATAAATAGTGCTTTTGTGGTAGCAAATAGAGGTATAGTGCCATTAGATTTGCAGGGTTCTCCTTTAGGGCCAAGTGGAATTATGGTATTAGTTTTATTAGGATATAATACCACATATACAATAAATAGTGCTTTTGTGGTAGCAAATAGAGGTATAGTGCCATTAAATTTGCAGGGTTCTCCTTTAGGGCCAAGTGGAATTATGGTATTAGTTTTATTAGGATAGGGGGGTTTGAGGAAGGAATCTTATTTTTTTTGAAAGAAACTTTCTTATTAAAGAAAATGTAAAATGTACAAAAGTAGAGAGAATGGAATAACGAATCCCTTTGTATCCATCACCCAGCTTCTACAACTATCAACACATGTATAAACACACATATGAGGATACTTCAAAGAGTTCATGGAAAAATGAATGAAAAGATAATAAATCCTTCCATAAACTTTTTAAGTACCCTCATATAGGTTATGTTGGGTATACAATTTGGTAATCTGCTTTTCAGTTAATAGAAGGTAATAAGCATTGTAATCATTTTTCATAATGTTAAATATTCTTTTATAAAATAATTTAGTAGCTACAAATAATCAATTGTACAGATGTACCATAACATATATACCTAGTCTATTACGGTAACTTGCAATAGATACTCATCTATATTTTGCATTGTTTTATTAGAATAACTCCTATAAATGGAATTACCAGGTAATGGATTATATTAATTGTTCTTTCTGTTGTGATCTTAGTGTCCTTCTTAATACTTAAAAAAAAACAGCATAATGAAGTGTGGGTTTATCTTTTTTATGCTCATGCTATTCTAGTGCGTTACAATGTGATGGTGGTATAAGTTTTCATCTATCACAGAATGAAGATTTGAAGGGATGTTTGACATGACAAAAGCTATGTAGAAGTTTATAGGAAGAGTGCAGAAATAAACCATTTCATTTCAGATGATCCTAATCACTTAAAAGTACTTTCTACGTTGAGCGAAAAACCTACCCTACTCAAATTTGTTTGGTCTACGAAAAGTTAATATCATTCTCTGTAAAACTATCCTTTTTCTTCTTAGTATATTCTCATTCTTCTTAGTATATTCTTCTTATGTGTATATAAGTATACTAAAAAGTATATTCTTAGTGTTTCTTTTTAGTATATTCTCCTCTGTTTCAAATATATTGTTTTAATAGTTTCTCCTGATGTATGTTTTTTAGACTCTTTACCTTTATGAATACTGCTTTCAAAGTGTGAATCTCCAAATAGGAACCGGTGTTCTCATAATAATCTGAACAGTTTAGAATAATGGTATTCCTTTACTGTGGCCCTTATACGTCAGTTAATATACTTTTAGCTTGTAATACATGTTTTGGGCATCTTTATATAAAGATTATTAGAATATTTTATTCATAATATCCTTTCAGTGCAAAATATGTAACTCATGTTTTCAGTGAAGATGCAGGCCTTTACCTTGATAATGGTTAGTCTTTTATCTTCTTGGTATAAATCCGGCATTCTAGCAAGATAGCATACCTTTGATTCTTTGATCCTGTTTTCTATTTTTGAGCTATTCCTACCAGCTTTGTGTGTCCTGTGCTTTGTATAAGTGCCTACTTTACCTTAAATTGAGAAACTGATAAATTTATGAATAAAACAAGACTATCTATTTTCATTTTGTGGAAATAGATATTTTTCCATTGTAAAATAGCTATAGGAGAGTGCTTTGATTTATTTTTTCCAGATGATTTTACATTTTTTGGAAGTAAGGTTAAAGAATACCCATTTTTTTCTGAAACTCTGCTATCAAATGTTAAGAGGTATTTGTTTTTAGTTGCTGCTTTACATTTTAATATAAATCACCTTTCTCAAATACTGTCTTGGAATAGCATACAAAACTTTAGACAACTTGCCTTTTTATGTCTACACTTTAATGGTGAGTAATGCCTTAAGCTGGCCTCAACTTTCATCAACCAATGAACTATTAGAATCAGCTAATTTGTTATTATTTCTATGAGTAATTTTTCTTCCTCTAGAACTTCAGGAGACCAGCAGCACAAAGGGAGCTTAGAATTTTTTTTTTTTTTGTCCGACTCAACCTGATTGGTACTTAACATGATCTGTCACCTGCGCATAGGACATTTTTGAGTCATCTAAGTACATTTTAGGTACCATAGATTTTATTCAGGGAGACCCTAAAGAAGTCTGTTAGTCAACAGACTAATCTAGCATCCCCATCAAATATTCTTCCAGCTTAGAGTATGTTAAACTTCTAGTCAACAAAAGCAATGGCTTTTATGGTTCTCAGCTGGAGAAATTTATAGTTTGAGACTAATGGACTTTGGTTTATTTCCAAAAGATCATGAGATTAGATGGTATGCACATTTAATTGATAACAGTATAGACTTTAATGTATCATACTATACTGTAGATTATACCATATTAAGTCATCAACTTTTGTAATATGAATGCACCCTGATGATATGTTATAAGTGTGCAAATGATGTAAGAAAATGTTCGTGGCAGAAAGAAGGGGCCTTAGAGACCATCAACTCATTTGCAGATTAAATCAAAGAAAGAAACTAACACACACACACACACACACACACACACGGATGTGTGTGCATTCATGGGCAGATACCCCAAAAGGTAAAGCTAAATAACTATGGTCTCTTGATCCCATTCCAAGGTTGGTTTGTTTGTGTGTTTGTGCATTTGTTCATTGTTCATTGTTTACTGGCCTCCCGGCCTCAATCTCTCCCTTCTACAGCTCACCCTGTTTCACACTGATTTTCCTAATAACACTCAGATCATATCACCTCTGTACTTTAAAATCATGACTGGCTCCCTGTTGCTTGCACAAGGATGTGCCAACTCCCTCCCAACTTGCCTAGTGCCTTTCGTGATCTCATATTCCTCTCTCTCCTCTTTGCACATGATATCTCTTATTATATTCAGCCGTACGTTGGCACCTGCAATTCTTCCAGCATGACTGCTCTCAAAGCCATGTACATGCTGGGCATGCTGTTCCCTCTGTATAGAACACCTTTCCTGTCTTTCTGCAAAATTCTGAGTTATCTTTTTACATCCAGCACTGAGGTTCTCCCTATGAAGCCTTCTTGCCCACCCCTCCACAGTTAATCAGTCCCTGTTCTGTGCTACCTCTGAACTTTGCAGTACTTCTTTTGTTTTCTGTGACTGTGTTTGCATATTTGAAATTCATACACATCTGTTTGAAATCCATACATGTCTGTCTTCATTAGATAGCATGTATCTTTCAAACTTTTAATCAGTGCCATTATTACCAGACAACAATGAACCTAGGATCTAAATAAAGTTTTCTTTTCTGTTGACATTTATATATACATATTTGTGGAGAATAGTATGTTGTTTCAATACACATATACTATACATTTATTCACTTAGGGTAGATAGCATAGCTCTGTACTCGTTAATCAACCAATTCCCCTCCTCCTAATACCCCGTCCTCTCCTGGCCTCTGGTAACCATTATTCTAATCTCTACTTCTATGAGGACAACTTTCTTCTTATTTTTAGATTACACATATAAGTGAAATCATGTGATATTTGTCTTTCTGTGCCTGGCTTACTTCACTTAACATGATGGACTCCAGTTCCATCCATGTTGCTGCAAATGACTGTATTTCATTTTTTTTTTTAATGTCTGAATAGTATTCCACTGTGTATATATACCACAGGTTTTTAACCATTACTCCACTGATGGGCACTTAGATTGATTCCTTCTCTTGGCTATTATGAATAGTGTTTCAATAAACATGGGAGCACAGGTGGCTCTTCAGTAAATTGATTTTTTTTCCTTTGGGTATATACCCGGTAAGTGGGATTGTTTGGTATTAAGGTATTCTATTTTTTGTTTTTTTGAGGAACTTTCATAATGTTATTGATAAAGGCTGAATTAATTTACATTCCCACCAACAATGCAGGTTTTTTCTACATTTTTTTTACATCCTCACCAGCATTGGTTAATTTTTGTCATTTTGATAATAGCCATTGAGTTGATTTTTGTGTATGCTGAGAGACAGAGTTTCATTCTTCCGCATGTGGATATTTAGTTTTTTCAGCACCTTTATTGAAGAGGCTGTCCTTTCTCTGGTGTGTATTTTTGGCACCTTTGATGAAAATCAATTGGCTGTAAATGCAGGGGTTTACTTCTGGGCTCTCTATTCTGTTCCATAAGTCTGAAGGTCTGTTTTTCTGTCAATACTGTGCTATTTTGGTTACTATAGCTTCATGGTACATTTTGAAGTCAGGTAGTATAATGCCTCCAACTTTGTTCTTTTTGTTTAAGATTGCTTTGACTATATGGGGTCTTTTGTAGCTCCATGCAAATTTTAAGATAATTTCTTCTATTTCTATAAAGGATGCCATTGATATTTTGATAGGGATTGCATTCAATCTGTAGATTGCTTTGGTAATATGGACATTTTGATGATATTAATTCTTCTGATGCATGAACATGGGGTATCTTTCTGTTTATTTGTGTCATCTTCAGTTTTTCACTGGTGTTTTAGTTTTCATTGTAGAGGTGTTTCATCTCCTTGGTTAAGTTTACTCCTAGTTATTTCATTTTTTTGGTAGCTATTGTGAATGGGATTACTTTTTTGATTTCTTCCTTGGCTATTTTGTTATTAACAAATAGGAAGGCTACTGATTTTTGTGTGTTGGTTTTGTATCCTTCCACTATACTGAATCCATTTATTAGTTCTGGTAATTTTTGGGTGGAGTCTTTAGGGTTTTCTCTGTATAAGATCACATCATCTGCAAGTAGAGATAGTGTGACTCTCTCCTTTCCTTTTTGAATGCCCTTTATTGCTTTCTCTTGTCTTATTGTGCTGGCTAGAACTTCCAGTACTATGTTGAATAGGAATGGGGAAAGTGGGCACCCTTGTCTTGTTCCAGAGCTTAGAGGAAAAACCTTCAACTTTTGGCCGTTCAGTATGACAGTCAGTGTGGTTATGTTGGATATGGCCTTTATTGTTTTGAAGTAGATTCCTTCTATAACTAATTTTGTGAGTGTTTATATCATAAAGGGGTGTTGTATTTTTTCAAATGCTTTTTCTGCCTCTATTGAAAAAAAGCTCATATTTTTAATTTTCCTTCATTCTGTTGATGTGATGTACCACATTTATTGATTTGCATACGTGGAACCATACTTTCTTTCCTGAGATGAATCCCACTTTATCATGGTGAAAGATCTTTTTAATGTGTTGTTGCATTCAGTTTATGAGTATTTTGTTGAGGATCTTTCCATCAGTGTTCATTAGAGATATTGCTCTGTTTTCTTTTTTTGTTGTGTGTTTTTCCAGTTTTGCTATGAGGGTAATAGTAGCCTTGTAGAATGAGTTTGGAAGTGTTCCCTCCTTGTCTATTTTTCAGAAGAATTTGTATTAGTTCTTCTTTAAATGTATGGTAGAATTCAACAGTGAAACCATCTAGTCCTGCAGTTTTCTTTGCTGGGAGACTTTTTATTACTGCTTCAGTCTCATTACTCATTACTGGTCTGTATATTATTAAATGAGGTTTTTTCATTCTTCATGATTCAACTTGGATAAGTTTTATTTGTCCAGGAATTTATCCATTTCTTCTAGGTTTTCCAGTTTGTTTGCATATCGTTGCTCTTGGTAGTCTCTTACGATTCTTTGTATTTCCTGTGGTATCAGTTGTAATGTCTCCTTTTTTATTTTTGGTTTTATTTATTTGAGTCTTTTCTCTTTTTTTCCTTCATTAATCTAGCTAAGCATTTATTGATTCTGTTTAGTTTTTTTGAAAAACCAACTCTTGTTTCATTGATCTTTTGTATTGTTTTTTAAGTCTCTAATTCATTTATTTCTGCTCTCATCTTTGTTATTTTTCTCCTCCTACGAGTTTTAGGTTTTGTTTGTTCTTACTTTTCTAGTTCCTAGAGCTATAATGTTAGGTTGATTATTTGAATTCTTTCTACTTTTTTGATATAGACATTTATTGCTATAAACCTCCCTTTTAAGACTGCTTTTGCTGTATCATATAGGTCTAGTATATTGTGTTTTTATTTTCATTTGTCTCCAGGAGTTTTAAAATTTCCTTTTCAATTTCTTCTTTGACTCATTCATTATTTAGGAGCATGTTCTTGAATTTCCATGTGTTTGTACAGTTTCCAGTGTCCCTTCTGGAACTGATTTCTAGTTTTATTTCATTGTGGTCAGATAAGATAGTTGATATGATTTTGGTTTTTAAAAATTTTTTTGAGACTTGTTTTGTGACCTAACATATGGTCTATTCTAGAGAATGTTCCATGTGTTGCTGAGAAAAATGTGTATTCTGCAGCTATTGGATGAAATGTTCTATAAATGTCTGTTAGGTCTAATTGGTCTAGAGTGGAGACTAACTCTGGTGTTTCTTGCTTAGTTTTCTGTCTGGATGATCTGTCCTTTGAAAGTGGGATGTTTAAGTCCTCAACTACTATTGCGTCAGAGTCTATTTCTCCCATTAAGCCTAGTAGTATTTGCTTTATATATCTGGGTGTTCTGGTGTTGGGTGCATATATATTTATAAATGTTATATCCTCTTGGTGAACTGATCCTTTATCATTATGCAATTTCCTTCTTATCTTTTTTTTTTTTTTTTTTTTTACTTTCCTTGGCTTAAAGTCTATTTTATCTGACATAAGTATAGCTACTCCTGGTCTATTGATTTCCATTTGCAT